AATAAAAAGGGACAGCAATCACAAATATTCGTTTGCTGCAATTGGCTACAGCGTACGTGAGGGGCGTAACCAAGTGAAGAACACTACAGCTTATGATGATCTGAAGGAAATTCAACACCCTATCCAGGACAATCAAACTGTAAAAAAATTGCTTCTTTCTGCACAAAATTGCCATTTTTTATATTTTTGCCTGGAACACAGGCAAACCTGAGTTAGCCCCCAAATGAATAAAACTTGGATCAATGATCCAGATCAAGCGCCCTGTTAAAACAGGTCAGTTTCGCATTCTGCCGCAATCCAGAAACCCCGCCAGCAAGAATACTCTAAAAAATAACCGACAGTTCAGCTTCAGCTGGAAACCTTAAGATAAACATGCGATAATAACAATCTGTGCATATTTTACCAAATAAAGTCGCACAATTAAGCAACGAGGTCAAAGGGCTAAAAATTACGCCAATCTGGCATCATTCAAGTGATGTTTATGGGGCAAAATTAAGTAGTATCAAACAATAAGTGTAATAAGTAATAATAAGTAATAATAACAAAACACACAAGTGTAGTGTTGGTCAGGGGCTCCAGTGTCAGGTAAAGAACCAGCTTGTTTTTGTGGAAATTGCATACATTTAATGGTGTGTGGAATCTCCAAAATGCGCCAAATATTCTGTTAGCTTATCTCCAGCTGGAAGCATTCAAGGTGTCTCAACATTTGCGTCTCCTGAGTTAACAACAGTTTTCTCGTACTGATCATTTTCTTGCAATGTACCTACTGCCGAATTTATGAATATTTGGAGATCTAGTTTCTGAATGTTCAGAAATTACGCGCAAAAAACCTAAAGAGAATCACATGCGACGCACTTTCGATAAAATTGTTCAAAGTTCGTCTCTTTGCTGCATAATCAACATTGCCCTAAGACCTTGCAAAACATATTCATCTCTAAAGGAAACCCCATTCATTGTCCTAAAGATTCTGACCGAATAGATTCTTGATTATGTAAAGACATTCACTAGAAAAATGCATAAAGCATCAAGGCATTTTTCCGTTGTAGGTCAGTTATCGGCGCCAAAATATTACTATATGCTGTAGCATTTTCTCCAAACAAACTTCAGGTATTTGCGGGCGAAAATGTGCGAAAGCAAATTGCAATCGGACTGCGCTTGTGTGACCAGCAAAAAAATCAACTTGGATGAGCCGCGCTATGATCAAGAGTTCTATTTGGGGCGGGCAAAGCACTTCTTCCAAACCACCAATCCCCGCAACTTGTTCGTGAGCAGTCGAAAACTCGACGAAGCCAAATGCTTGATTCAATCATACAAGTAATCCAGAAAATGCAATTTTTTGCCCTTCAAATCACCCAACTGTTCCAGATGCGGCGAAAAGTTGCCAAGTGGAACCGGTGAAGAGGATTTGTGGCGCGCCAAAATCCTTTACGACTCTGCCTTTCATCCCGACACTGGAGAAAAGATGGTGTTGCTGGGACGAATGTCTGCTAAAGTGCGTAGATAACTTTATGAACGGAACGGTGAATTCTCTGGTTTCACTCTTAAGTGTTGAAGAGCGCAATTTGAAAATTAACCACTAATACGCTCTTGCACTTGTCAATGAGTAGAATCTTATAGCGTTATTGAATGGATTTCAGGTTCCAATGCATATACTCATAACAGGCGGAATGATCACATTCTACAAAACAGCGCCAGCAGTGGTTTTCTGGCAATGGCTCAACCAGTCCTTCAACGCCCTGGTCAATTACACTAACAGAAGTGGCGACATCGTCCAAACAGACAAGTAGGCACACCGTCCTCTCCCATCGCCTGCAGACTAAATTTGCCTAATTTTCAGACAGATTCTTACCTCTTACGCATTTGCCACCTCAGGAGCGGTGGGCACAGCACTAGGGCTGAACGCTTTAGTTAAAGTAAGTACTTTGCTGTGATCAAAGTGCAAGAAGTTTCTACCCCCCTTAAGGCCCAGACTAATTATATGATAAAAACCAAAGATATAAATAATTGAAAACTCCCGATCTTCCTAGAATTGCGAGAAGCCAATGAATGATTTTTGTGCTGCAGAAGATGCCGCCCTTGGTGGGACGTCTGGTGCCTTTTGCAGCAGTGGCAGCCGCCAATTGTATCAATATTCCCATGATGCGAGCTCAGTGAGTAAATGGGCAGTAAAGTGATAAATAGTCCAGAAATCTGCAATTGTTTTCAGGGAGCTAAAACACGGCACCCCAGTCTTTGATGCAAATGGCAATAAATTGGGCTATTCTACAGTGGCGGCGCAGTACGGCATTGGGCAGGTCATCCTGAGCAGGATCGCCATGGCCATGCC